CTTTTCTAGCTTGACAGTGCCATTGAAAGAACCGGAAAGCTTGTTACTGCTAACTGGAGTGAGCAACTGAAGGTAAGGGCGTGTTGTAAACATATACAGGGACAGAAATTGGCTTTGGTGGAGCTGCTGAATCATAAATCCATAAAATGACTGTATCTGCAAAAATATGTTGACATGTACAGTCAGAGAATTGCTATAATGTGGATACCTGCAAGAATGCATTAGAATGTATGCAGAACTCACAGGTCTGATATAAGCTTTAATAATATATGTGTTTGAACAGTTGCATGCCATTAAAAGGAGGGTCATGCTGAGGAATTATGATACTTTACGATTTGGTTTGATGGCACATTATAAAGTCTGGAATTGTGACCAACCATAACCATTCCTCCCTTTCAAAATGGGTAGATTTATCATTAGTCACTGTCATGTTTGGCCTTATCAACCATAATGATCATGCATAAAACGACTCTGTTGTGACCGTTTCCAGGAACTGTTTGGCTGCAATGCAAATCTGATATAAAGCTTTTTTTTAACACGTGACACATTCGTTGAAAATGTTTTGAAAAATAACAAAATAAAATAATAAAATAAAATAATAAAGTGTTTTTGTAGCTATGAGTGTAAAATTTCATATCTACAAAAATAAACTCACAAGAAGCCAAGATAAATGATTTATCTTTCAAATTCAGTCTATCCCTTTTGACACACAACATCACAAAGTAGTTGTAATGTTATTTAAAGTTCATACTAATATATTCATTTGATTTCTTCTTTCTAAACTAGATCAAAAAGAAATTAATTGGACTAACAAGAGAACACGAGGATCTGTTCAACTTTGTTGAAAACAACAAACACATCTCCACTGAGAAAGAAAAACAGAAGGTACAGAATGTGTCATACTGTTTTCATCACTGCAGTCTTTTTCACCACGGGGGGGATACTTACTGGAAAAAGCTGTCAGCATGGTTGCTAAAGTTTTCTCTCTGTTCTTGACTCCAGATGCTTAACAGGCTGACTAAGTCAGCAGAGATGCAGGCGCGGGTGGATGAGGAGTACTTTAATATCAACATGGAGGGTCATCAGATGAGACTCAAGTGGGAAAACACATTGAAAAACTGCTACCAGGTGGAGAAAATAGTTTCCTACTTGTCATTTTGTGGGCATTTAGCTGTTCCTCTTATTAAGAGTGGCTCTTTATGAGATAACGGGGCTCAGTGACGTAGTCAAGAGTTTTTCATTAGTGTGAAAGATTTCACTTCTGATTGGTTCCAGGAAACTCTGAAAGCACAGCTTATCTCCCAGGACAGTATGTTCTGTATTTTGAGCACAAAAACCAGACGTGAATCCAGTTGAGAACCTCTGGGAAATTATGTATTGATGCCTAAATGCTGGGGATCTTCCAGGACACCATCCACAGTCTCATCAGAATGGAGTCATAAGCATTACTGAGCCACAGTGTGACTCCGGTTGGATCGGCCTGTAATATCAGGTTTTAACTTTGCCAGTTGGTGTAATCTTCAAGGATGGTTGATGATTATGAGTTCTACTAACCGTGGTTATGTCATTTTGTTCTCAGTGAATTATGCAACATACATTTCAGTAGCGAATTTTTAGCTTACATTTCTTTCATCAAAATCCACTCTGTGCAGCAGTAGACATTGAATGTATTTTCAGAGATTCCCACATTTATTTAGTGTACACGTTGTTTAATAAGGACACAGTACCAGAACTTGAGGCTGCTGGCTTAAGCCTGTGATCTTTCTTTTACTCTGCACATGGTCTTTCCACACATTATGACCTGAATCACTTGGTGCATTTATTGAATTTATGGGTTAGATGGCAATCATCTAACTCAAGTGCATATATTTGCTGTTATGTGCTCCATGGTTTAAATGGCCAGGAGATTATCTAAACAAGGACTTTCTCACTTTCTGCTCTTTCAGATCATACAGGAGCTGGAGAAGCAACGGATTGAACTTCTAGGCAACATCCTAAAAAGATATAAGCTCCAAATGTACAGCTTTGGACAGACCCTCAAACATGTGAGACATCCTGACCACCATCGTCCAGTAAACGTTGAATCACTGGTACATTAAGGATATTATATCACCTATGCATACTTGTGCTACCTCTAGGGCCAAACACAGATAGAACAGGCGGTCCAAAGGGTGGACACTGATAAAGACATACAAGCCCTGGTGGAAGAGAACAGAAACACCACTGAAGATCACAACGTCGAGTTTTTGATGGCTGATTATTTCGTAAGTCTTTGGTGTCTGAGAATCTGCTGTTGCATTTCAAACCGAAGTATTTTTTCCTGCAGGCGGTCATCTCTGCAGGGGGCATCTTTTTATGTTAGTGTGTGCGTGCTGCAGATAAAAAAGTTACTGGTAGGGCCTGACAGAAATCCTGTACCGTGATCTACTCTATATTTACTGTTACATAAATATAGCTATACATATATACAACATATACGTTTTTTAAAGATGTGGCTTCTATGGGAATATGATGGTAACCTGATTTCTGATTTAATAAAATGTAGTTACTGTATAGGGACATGTACGATTGGGGTGCAACATGCAGCATGTCTGAAAAGTTTTCGGGACGAATTCAAAGTTAACATGCTACTTTTATTCCCTGTAGATTTAACCATCGATGGTAGATTTAAAAAAATGTTTCTGATTTAATAAGTGACCAGATATCTATGCTCAGGAGGAAGACAGCAAATCATTCATGGACAAAGACAGAAGAAGAGAGGCAATCAAGCTTAAACTTCAGCGCCTCGACGAGAATATTACAAAAACAAAGAAAGACTGTGAAGGCAAGCTGTGTTACGCAACTTTTAAAATAAGAAGTAAAATCATTTGCTGTTTTTCTGTCATTCTAATTCTTACAATGTGTCGCAGGAATTGAAAAACTTATGAAAACATACTCTGAAAATCCATCTTTTTCCAACCAAAAGAACCTTGAGGAAACCGAGCAGCAGCTTGATGAGGTAAATAGTGGACAGTAATGCCAGAGTGGATGTGGATTTATACTGCTGTGTGCTGTTTGATGTTTTCTTCAAACAGACCATGAATCCAGGGTTCCCAATTGCTCACTAATGTCAACTCATGTATAGAATACTCTAAAACTGGATCTCCTGGAGGCTACTCATTACAAACTCTCTACATCGCTGTCTAAATTAGAAGGGAAACCAAAGTCCCATCACCGGTTCAGCAACAGTATTCTGAAATGGAAGGACAAGGTAAGATTTCCATTATGCAGCCGCCTTTTGTTGGCACAAAGGATTTGTAGCTAAAATGTGACTGGACTGAATCCTCAGCTTAATAGGAACAGACTTGATAGAGGGTTAACTTTAATCTCTTACTCTGCATACCCCATACATATCTATCAGTAACATATTTAAAGCAGATTAACTGGAACTATAGTGGAATATTGGTTTTACTGGACAGATGGTGCAAGTAAGAAACAGGATCTTTTTGATTTTCCCAGAAATAAAAGCACAGTGTGCACAAGATTCTTCCCAGTATCTGCTACCTTGCATCTTCAGTACTCCATCACCCTTCCTGTCATTCACACACATGTATTCTGTTTTGCTTCTACAGGCTTTCATTCCTCTCCTTCAATACTTCCACCTGCTAGCTTGTTGATTAGATTAATATTTAGCATCAACTGGTGAATCAGGTTGCTGGGGCAGGTGATTTGCTGGGGCAACAGGCCTATCGTAGCTGGTAGTTTGGTATCGCATCAATAAATATACTTATGTTTGGTTCACATGTAGAGGCAAAATGTTTTTACTTGAGATAAAATATTTGCCTGTTTTTTTCTGAATGAACAAGATTATTTTTATTCTATATTATTAGGGATCCTGTCCTTTCCTGTATCTCGTGAGTCACTGCATAAACAGCATGAATGCATTTCTGATGAATCATCTTACATTCAAAATCGGCTCATAACATTACCACCTGCAGTACATAAAGACACAAACTGTCTCGATGCAAAGCAAATTACAGCTAAATTACACTAAATTGGTAGGTAGGACAGTTTGCTTGCAGGAAAATGAGCAAATGAGAACTTCTCTTGTTATTTCAAGTTATCTTATTAAATTGGAAAAACACCAGAAATAAAAAGACTGGAATATCAAAAAGGCGAATTTTTTATTTTATATTACATCGTTGTACAGTTCTGTGTTTACGCTTCTGTAAAGACAAATGCTGTAGTTGAAACCCTTTCTTCTGTTCAAGGACTGTGAACATAGTCTAGTTCAGCTGGCTCGTCCAGTCAGACTCAGGAGGACACCCTTCAGATCCCGGCAGTCACTGAGAGCTTCCATCATTTACAAAGGACCACCTCTGTTTGTGGCACAGCAGTCTGTGGATCCTTCAAAAAATGCCACTGACCAGGTCAGTTCTACAAGCCCAACACAGGAAAGTCAAACTGCAGAGAGTGGCAGCACTGTTAATGGAGTCTTGGAGCCTCACACGGAAGAGGACAAAGGACAAGGTAATTCATTTACAGAGCACAGATACAACTGTTTGTTTAAAATTACAACATCTGGAAATTCAGGAAATTAAAGCACTAAAAACAGTTATTTTTAGCAGATAAAACAACCCCAGAGTTGTGCAGTATAGGAAAATGCAAGGCCATTTACAACTTCACCCCTGAGCACGACGATGAACTGGCTCTGAACGAAGGTAAGTGACACTAAACCTGAGTTTACTAAAAACATTTGCGTTTCTTTAAAGCAAAGATTTAAAGTTTAACTGAAAAAATCATGTTTCACAGGAGATTTACTAGACATTTATTCCAAGGAAGAAAACGGCTGGTGGTTTGGCATGCTGAACGGGCAGATGGGCCATTTCCCATCAACCTATGTTGAAGAGCTACCTCGGTTAAGCAGCATTAAATCATCTGATGCCTGACCGACCCTGAATCAAATTCTAACCACAGCGATGCCAAACATTCATTAGAAACTTAGTCTGAAAGGAACAATATCTGTGTATGCACCGATTTTAATTTGGTTAATTATTCAACATTTGTCACATTCAGTTCTTGTATATTTATGAAGTGAGATGTACATTCAGCATCTTAACACTGCCTCCTGGGTATTTTGTAATGCTCCTAGGATTAAAGTTGAACATAACACTAATATCAAATAACAAGTTTTTTCATAATTTATATTACACTCGATACAAGGTCGACTAACACGAGGCTTTAATAAAGAAGTGCTTTATTACATCATTGATGTCTGTAGCACGCGTAAAAAAAGAGATTTGTAACAAACAAATAAAATAAAACTGTTTACATCAATGTTTAAGTGGTCAGTTCCTTATTATTCAGGATTAAAAGGTAAGCAGTTGTCCAAATGTCAATTCACTCGCTGGGCCCACGTCCTCATTTTAGGTTTGACAGCGTTATCGTAGATAAAGGTGAACGGCTTGGACATTCATTGAGCTGCGGTTTGAGCAAGGCCTCGAAGGGGACTGGCGTGGTCCCGCTCCTTAAATTCATATACTTATCTCCAACAAGAACTCGTCTGAAATGATGCCAAAAAAAGAAACTTAATCTTTTTAATAAGAAGAATTCACACGTGTTAGCTACTGAGTACAAAAGAGTATTTGAAATTCAAATCTAAGAGTCCTGAAGTTGACTTTTTATTTAAAGATTTGTAATCCTCCACTGATTACTCCATTGAATCCACTGTGCTTTCTTTAGTCCAAATTGCAGGGAGAATGTCACTGCGTGCTTTTCATCCTTCCCTGCGTTCAATTTTAGCGACGCGTCTGAGAGATAAACTCCTTCCTCACATTTGCCAGGAATGCTGGTAAATTATTGGTCTCCTGAAGTCGCTTTTCCAAGGCTGGCAAACACTTGAGCACGGGGTCACTGGAGACAACTGTAAAACAGAAAAAAAAACAATGACTGATTACAGTGGATGCAATAAAAGAGTGAGCCACAAAATATCAGGTTAAGTGTTCCAATGTTTCTCTCTGGTCTTATTTGAACCAATTTTACAAACACATTAAATATCAGTGTGTTTTTTTGGTCTTCCTATAGCTTTTTAAATAATAATAAAAAGCTCATATCTATATTTGTGAATCTGTTTGAAATTAATACACAGAAATACTATTACATTACACAGGGTTGTGGGAAAAAAAAGTAGAGGTATTTAACTTACTCTGGTATGATCCGCTTTCATTAATCCCCATCGTGATGACATAGGCGCTGTCTGGATCAGAGGGGTTGATGTTTCGAAAAACAAACTGCAACTTTTCACCTTTAAAAGTTCAAAACAAAGTTCTTGAGTCGTATCAGAAGCGGCGTGTGTCACAAGGTGAAATCGCAACAACCAGCTGACCATCATTAAGTTGCACAACACTTTTTCAGTAACAGTACACATGTCCAGAGTTTCTTCACGATCTGATTATATTCACTCTGAGCTGTGCATGTCTTTATCGTTAATGATGATTCATACAAGCATAAATATCAATCAGTTCACCATGGTAACAGGAATATGCAGAGCAGAGCCTTCATTTTAATCCACCGAAGGTAAAAATATTACTTTACGATTATAGTCTTTCTATTCAATGCATTCAACTCAACCATCAATTAACAATTAAGCAGTTTGTAGGTCAGAATTACTCTAGTTTGGATATGTGCATGCAGACAGCTTCAGAAACATAATGAATGTGGTTCCACTGTTTTAACTAGTACTCATGTACTGAGTATTTATTCCATTCCGACAAAAAAAATCAAAATAATTATAATATTGATTATCACTTCTGAATAGCTAGAGCTTTTATCCTTATGGTTGTTTTATTTTAGAAAGTATCATAACCATATCAGTCATGATCAGCCTAAAAGGAACAGCAAGACCAAAACCTCTTGCACAAAAATCTGTTACAGATAACATAAACAAGAGTCGACAAACATATGTGTATCAAAAATGCATGGTTTTTGCATACCTTTAACCAGCTGTGTTTTGCCGAGGATTGTTCGTACCTCCAACCCCAGATGATCCTGAAAGACGAGTCTGGCTTTTTGGAGATTCTTCAGTCTGTCTTTGTTTGCTTTGTATTGAGATTCAATCACTGAAATGTAGGCAGAAAAAATAAGTGTACTATACAATACAGTCACAGTTTAATATTTAATTTATACGTTACAGCATCAGTGTCACAATCACACAATCTTACGTTCTTTTCTCTTGGTTTGTTCTTCTTTAAGCTTCTCAATCTTCTGGATAATGTCCTCTTTCTGCATATCCTTCTCCTGAATCTCAGATATCACTTCAGATATTGCCTGTCGTTTCTCTTTTAAAGCCACTTTTTTCCGTTCGAGGTCTACGAGGCAAACATTGTGTCAGTACACAAGTTGTGTCAGTACAACTAAGTCCAGAGATAAAGTGAAGATGCGGAAGCAGCATTACAAACCACCATTTTCACATGTACACTTGAACTCAGCAGTATGACCTACATTTAAGGTACATGCTAATACTGTGTGCCTAATTTACTGAAACTCACCTTTTTTGAATGTCTGTATTGTTTCAAACAATATGTCATCATCCTTACACTTCTTTAAACACGTATCTGCAACAGAAAACATTTATTATCAGCCATATCAGACAACTCTAATCAAGTAAGAAAATATGTATAATGTTGTAATCCACTGTGCTGGACGATACTCAGACTGTCTTAAAACACTCCAAAAACACAACTTTGGACCTAGTTGTTATTAAACCTGTAAGACTAAATGTTACTCATAATTAATATTCTTTCTTTGACATGTTTGCCTTTATTGGATAGTGAAGCAGTGAAGATAGGAAAGTGAGGGAAAAAAGGGGACAATAGGGTGTCTTAAAAACTAAAAAGTCCATGTGCAATTTATTTTCTATTGAAATAAAGGATATTAATAATGAAAACAAGCTGAACAGATGTTTGTATATGTAGTTCAACATTAAAAATAAATTTTAAAAAAACTTACCAATTGCTGACTTCACAAACTGCCTGTGGGATTGGGCCAACTCTGCCGTTGTGTCTATTATGTCTGTGTATGTTTTAAGCTCCTTGTTGTGGATCTCCTCCATTGCACTTGTAAACCTATCGCTCATGTTTGGGTCAGTGATGGACATCACGGTGCTTTGTTATGAATCTGTGGTAAAACACAAGCACAATTTTCACTGCAGAGCCAGACAACTGTAGTGGTCGGTCAACACTGGCGCAGAACAGAATACAGAAAAAGCTGCTCAGAGTAATTTATTTGTCCAGGATATGAGTGTCGCCCACAATCAAAGACATTATCACATAATGATGAAGATGAAATAGTAATAAAAATCTATAAAGAACATTAGAAAAAGAACATCATAAATAAACAGCAACAAGTAACAAAGTTGTGAATAAGACATGAAATTAATTGCAGTTAATTGGTTTTGATTTAGCGTACAAAGCAGTCAAATAAACTTTTAATTGAATTTTTTATTTTATTGTGAGTTAACTATTTTAATGCTGAACGCGCTCTCAATGCTGCTGTTTATTTCTAACATGAAGTCTGTACATTAGAGCTCTGAAACTTGGAAATGGATGGATGGAAATGGATGGAAACGAACATTAAGGGTTACTCTGTGTGCTCAGCTCTGACACTTTCCTGTAGCCTAAAACGAAGATGAGACCTTGCTTTGTGAGCAGATTAAAATGAAATTGATCTAATCGATTGAACAGGTATTTTTGGTGTTCTCTGTATTCTTTGCTCTGTTTACAAAGCTGTGTAAACAGCTTCCAGCAAGGTAAAACAGCCTTAGCAGCAGATTAAAGATAAAGTATAAAAACATTTCTTGCATCATGTATGCATGTAAATCACAGAATCTGATGTACAGCTACTGCTTAACAACTTGCACACATTCCCCCAGCAGAGAATCTACACGGCTTTTAAGACATGCTGTAAATAAAAGAATCTGAGAAAATGTGGCACTTTCGGCCAAAACATTGCTTCATAATAAACCCCTCAGGCGGCTGTGTGTAATCTAGCAGTGTATTCTTGGTAAATTGTTAATTTTATAGTTGTTAGTGCTCTAGTAAACTTTTTTTTCCTTTGGCTTAACCAATGTACAATGACCCAGACGTTATGGAGATAAAAGCAAGATTAAAAAGTACAACAGTACAGAATAGGCTGTGCTGTACTGTGTTGTATTTACATTAATATTTTAAAAGACTTATAGTTATGCACTGTGGCTGTTATTTCCAGCAAACAATGACACCAAAACATTTCAAAGCATATCAAAGAGTACAGCTGAAACCATCGTCAGTTAAAACAGTTTTAAATGTTTACTGGCATAATTAGTTATTTAATTAGTTCACAATTGACCTGTCGCTAGTAACAGCTGGCTTTATTATTTAAATACAACATCCATCCATCCATTCGCTACCGCTTATCCTTTTCAGGGTCGCGGGGGGTGCTGGAGCCAATCCCAGCTGTCATAGGGCGAGAGGCGGGGTACACCATGGACAGGTCGCCAGTCTGTCGCAGGGCTAACACACAAGGACAGACAACCATTCATACTCACATTCACACCTAGTGGCAATTTGGATTATCCAATTAACCTATCCCCACAAACTGCATGTCTTTGGACGGTGGGAGGAAGCCGGAGTACCCGGAGGGAACCCACGCAGACACGGGGAGAACATGCAAACTCCACACAGAAAGACCCCGGCCTGATGGTGGAATTGAACTCAGGACCTTCTTGCTGTGCGGCAACAGTGCTAACCACCGTGCTGCCCACAAAAATACAACATTATTTGTGCATATCGGACAACCGGTGACGTAACAGCTACACCAAAACCTACTAACAACATTAGCATGCCAATGCTAACGTTAGCCGGGGGAACATTAGCGGTTAGTTCGTCATCGATTAGCTTGCAAATGAAACCAAAGGATATTTTACAAATGTGGCTTAAACTAGTCAGTCCATTAACGTTTCCGTGTAACACTCACATGTTTTGAAGAGAACTCTAGATTTACGTCTTGCTGTTGCGCAGGTCGTTATTTTCAAAAATCCGCGGTCTAAACGTAGGGGGCGGGCACTCAACGACAACCGGAAATTACGTTAATCATTCATATTATTTCCTCTGCTTTCAAATGAGCTAAACACTGTTATGTTTTTAAACCGAGAAAACATGGTTTAAAAATATTAAATAGCCCACTCCTCTTGCTAAATTTATATTTATAATGATATATATAATGTTTTCAGGATGTTTTTTGCTGAAACGATATCCCACCTTGTGGTCAGTATGTGGAAGTTCAGATGGATCCGAAATTCCGTCCAAACTATATAAAACAACATTATACTTTTTTCAGTATTTGTGCTCTGATTAGAATGGGAAGATAGCTGAATGCTAACAGATGTACTCAGTGAACTCTACTGTGCCAGATGCCAGATGGGCTGTGTTTTTCTCTTGCAGCATTATAGGAAGTTCATTTTGTTGCTACGTTCACTGAGAATGAGAATATTAATGAGGCTGAAAGGATCCAGCAGGTTACGTGTAACTGTCTTTCTTCGTGTGTACAATGGCTAATATTTAACAATTGTAAAAGCAATGTTCTGTGAAAAATCTAATGTCTACATGCTCAGGGTGTAAACAGTTTTGTAACATGTCTTAAAATGCTGAGCCCTAATGGCAACATTATTTTATGTTGGGTTCAAAGCAAAGATGTTGCAGTTGTTGCCATGGCTTCATTTAATGATTTATGATACCAGGTTGATATAAAGTTCCTGAGGTAGGAAAGGACTCACGGTGCTTTAGCTGGCATTGAAGAAGAAGCTGTTGCAGTTGTGTACATAGATAGGGAACCACATGGATTTTGTCTACAGCTTTGGTGTGCAGGTTATACAGTACCTGCAGAACAACTACTGGCAATACCATGACTTCATTGATTTTGTGTCAGTAGTGGGTGACCCTCGTAATATTTTCTCTGTTTATTTCCCTCTCTGGTTCCATCTCAGTCACAATGTTGGCACCAAGATGATTTGGGTGGCTGTCATTGGAGACTGGTTCAACCTTATTTTTAAATGGTAAACCTACTCTTAGGTTAGCATTTGTATCTTTATTTTATGTATTTCTGAACTTTATTCTTATATTTTCTTTTGCAGGATTTTATTTGGGCACCGACCATACTGGTGGGTGCAAGAAACACCCTTCTACCACAATGATTCAAAACCACATTTGGACCAGTTTCATATAACTTGTGAAACAGGGCCAGGTTAGTATGCATGTACGAGTCAGGACTTAAAACTATTAAAGTGTAGAAAACTTTATTTAATGTTTTTCTGAACAGGCAGTCCATCTGGTCATGCCATGGGCTCATCATGCGTGTGGTATGTGATGATCACTTCTGCTTTAAATTTTGCTCGGCCTTCCCACGCCTCATCTGTACACAGCTTTCAAAGGTGAGAGGTTATATACATCTTTACAATTAAATTAGTTGTCTTGTCTTTTTTTAATATGTATTATTCCTACAGGTTTTGTCTTCTGAGGTCCTTTTTGTGGATGACTTTCTGGGTCATTCAGATAAGTGTTTGCATCTCCAGGATTTTTATTGCAACACACTTTCCACATCAAGTTATCCTCGGTGTTTTCACTGGTGTGTTCCACTCTGCTGTCAAAAAAATATCTGATATATCTGTTGTTTTGTGTTCGGACTAAAGACCTTTTTTCTTTCTTTAATGTGTAGGCATGCTGATTGCTGAGGCCTTTGATCACATCCCCTCAGTCTACAATGCAAGCTTGAAAGTTTACCTCCAAACCAACATTTTTCTTTTCTCTTTCGCTGTTTGCTTTTATTTGCTCTTTAAACTGTTGGATATCGATCCCATGTGGTCAGTCAGCAAAGCCAAGAAGTGGTGCGCTAACCCAGACTGGATCCATCTCGACACAACGCCTTTTGCCGGTCTGGTTAGAAACCTGGGAGCCTTGTTTGGGCTGGGCCTGGCAGTGAACTCTGAGATGTTCGTTCAGAGCTGCAAAGGGAAGAACGGCTGCAAAAGTATGTTTAAACTCATGTGCGTGACTGCAACGCTCACATTTCTGCAACTGTACAACTTTATTAAAATGCCCACTCACAATGAGGCTCTGTTTTATATACTGTCGTTCTGTAAAAGTGCTTCAATACCTCTCGGTGTGGTTGCTGTTATTCCTTACTGTGTTAATTTGCTCATCAGAGAGCATGAAGAGAGGAAGCTAGCTTAGACTGTTGAGCAGCTTTCAAGTTTTACAATATTACCCCCAACACTTATTGATCAAGGATATCAGCAAGGTTGAATGGTAGTGTTGGCAAACAAGTGTAAATATGTATGTGTATTATGGAGGTAATCACACGAGACTGAAACAGTGTATGTTTAAAAAAGTTGCATTTGTGGGTTTGAATAGCATGTTTTGAAATTTCCATTTGCTTGATCTGTTGCTTACCTGAGTCCATTCTATGGTGTTTGTTTTATATGTAAATCACAATAACTGTAAAGACTGTTCAATTTCTTATTAAAGAGTTTCTTTGGGACATTATACAACCCTGGAATCATTCGGGAGATGCTTTTGCCTGAAGTGTTTTCCCATTTTTTCCTTACGAATATCCATCCTTTTTAGGGTTTACGTCCGTGTTTAAGAGGTTACACACAAATTAGAGCACAAATGGTTTTTGAAAACTTCATTTTGACAGTTTACATCACAACAGCCTGAAACAAAACCAGACCTCCAGATTTTATTGTGACCTGTTAGCCCATCAGTTCTGTGTAAAAGTCAGCTAGATAACAAGTAAGATCCCTTACCACTGCAGCTCAGATGAAAGAACAGGTGAAATTTTAGATTGTCAGAAATGACAGTTTATCGATATTTATATCATGTCAGAAATGTCAGTTATAAAAGTATCATTTTTAGTTTTTAAGCACTTTAAATGTATGGACATACAGCTTGCTCTGCATGCATTGAATAATCTCTTGTAGCTCTCTTCAGGAAAACTTAGATATTAATCAGCCAAAATAAGTGAAGCAGAACAGAAGCTGTGATGTAACTAGATTAGGCAGATTAGGTAAACTCCCCAGCAGAACGTATTTCCACGTTTTTCTCCACCATCCCGGGTTGCTTAGCATCCAGCGGCACCTGAGGCTGGCTCTGAATTATGTAACTGTCCTAAGTGCGTAGGCTCCTCATTAAGCCCAGCTCGAAGAAAAATCTGTGTGCCTGGGTGCTTTATTATCAACTGGTACTGAGGGTGCAGCAACAGAGAACCACTCAGCAGCCTGAACTCTGTCCACTCCAGCTCCAGCATAGTTAATATAAATATTTATGAAAACTAATTTGCCTGAGAAAAGAATTTTCTTTCAATACAGCTACAATTTAAAGGAGAACTTGCTTTAGGTATAAAGACCTCTGTTATTGGTTATGTTTAAATATAAAATGAAAAAAAAAAAAGATTTCAGCACCCATGAGCAAAATATTTCCTCCTTACAGATAAAGTACTCTTTCTGACCTCCAAAGGTCCAAAGGTCCCAATTAAATGGTGGTTAGCGCTGCTGTGTCACAGCAAGACCGTCCTGGGTTCAAATACGTTTGCCAGATGGGGCCTTCTTTCTGGGTTAGGTTAACTGGCAATGAATTGGCTGTAGGTGATAATGGTTGTTTATCTCTCTGTATTAGCCCTGTAGTAGACCTATAACACATTCACTGTGTGCCCTGCCTTTTGCTCTCTGGGAGCTAGGATGGACTCCATGCTACCATCACATGAACTAGCTGAGTAGAAGAAAATAGATGCTTAAATATCCATAATAACTTCTATATGTGAAGTTTAAAACAATATAGTAAGATGTATTGTTTTAAACTGAAGAGAAATGTTGATATTTTGGTAAGAAAAAGCCGTACCAAAACATTAGAAATAGATTACTTTAATGATTGTATTATTATACAATTTTAAAATATATATATATATATATTTAAAAAAAAAACAATAACTGTGGTTCAGTGATACAAACGTGGCTTAATACATGCAAAAGTCTTTATCCTCATCTTCTTCATTTATAAACACTCATTACAGGCAAATAAATATACAAAAAAGAGCTTTATCGTCACATAATTAATTGATAACAAAAACAGATTCTTGTGCGGTTTAGATCATTCCATTTGGTGTTATTTGGCAAAGTTTAGATGTGGAGTCGGTGGTATCCCAGTACTTATGGACAGATTTTATGGAGTTAAGTATATTAAACGTTTATGTGTCCTTCATAGTTTGGGGAAACCTGGAGATGAGTATCACTATTTATTTGAATATAGACAGAAATATCTGCCTGTATATTTTAGGTTAAGACCAAATGCTTATGAGATGGAGTTAATTAGCATTAAGGATATAATTGTACAGAGTAAACTGACAAATTTTGTAAAGAAATTGTATCTGTATTTGGACATGGGAGATTTGCTGATAGATGTGTTGATTTTAATGATGATGATGATGATGTGTACTGAAGAAAAGAAAATTTGTAGATTTTCTTTTTTTATCCTGGGAGGAGTTTTATGAAAACGAAGTAAAGTTGTGCATTTAAATGAGCAGGATATGAGGGACAATTTTCCAAATGGTTCAAGTTTGCAACTAAACGGCTCTGTAAATACAACAAGCTCAAATAATTCTAGCTGATCGGAGCACCTGTTGTGACCAGTTTGTAATAGGCGCCCCTCTTGGCCATGAGTTTATCATGTGTGCCTTGCTCGATGACAGCTCCATGAGACATCACAGCTATGATGTCTGCAGTCTGGATGGTTGACAGCCGGTGAGCGATGACGATGCAGGTTCGTCCTTTTCTTGCCTCATCCAGAGCAGTCTGCACGGTCTGCAGGACAAAAAATCTCTGTCATCAGCGAGTTCCTTTTGTGTGTCATGGATATATGATATGGATGTTTTGTCAAACTTTCATTTAAAAGACTAGATTAGAGGACTTAAAAGATACCTTTTCACTTTCAGTATCCAGGGCAGACGTGGCCTCATCTAACAGCAGGATCTTGGGGTTCCTGACAATAGCACGTGCAATAGCGATGCGTTGTTTCTGTCCTCTTGACAGCTGCGAGCCCTGGGCACCAACCTGAGTCTCATATTTCTACCAGTTTGAAAGAGAGAGAAAAGCAGCAAGTTATACTCTAAGTTCACCACAAGTCATCTTTAAAATGTGTGTTTGTTTGATTTTTTTTAGGATAGTAAACCTATACTAAGTGCATTTAGCATCTGGAAAACGCTTGTCTGCACATTCTGCCAGTTACCTTCTAAAAGGAACTACAGGCAATCAACGTCACATTCAATTTAGCTTTAATTCTGAATTTATGCTTAGTTCGCTTACTCAGCTTTCTTTTTAATCAAAAAATGACTGACCGGACAACATTTCAAGTCATTTCAGTCCTACTCACATCAGGAAGCGTCATCACAAAGTCGTGAAGATAAGCTTTCTTAGAAGCTTCAATAATCTCCTCCATGCTGACACTGCGGGTGTTATCTCCATATTGTATGTTCTCAGCTATACTGCAGTCAAACAAAACTGGCTCCTGGGACACTATCCCAATCTGAGATCTTAGGAAAGGCACATTGACTGAATGAGATGGGACGCCATCAATCACCTGAAAAGAAAAGGTGACACAGTTACAACAGAGCGAATGGTTTTGCTCACACTGAATACATTTTGTGTATCTGAAATTAACATTTAAATCAGTCAACACACACCACTTGCCCTTCATCAGGGTCATAGAACCTCTCCAGCAGTTGAACGCTTGTGCTTTTCCCGCAGCCGCTGCTCCCAACAAACGCCAAAGTCTGCCCGGGCTTCACAGACACACGGAGGCCCTTCAACACCTGGGTGTCCGGTCGTGTCGGATAGGTAAATTTGCAATTAAGGAAATTTATTTCTCCTCTGAAGTTTTTCTAAAGATGGATGACAAGATTCACAAAAGTAACACGGGCTACATCTTAAAACTCATGAACCATTTCAATGTACAGTTATTGACATTCACCAACCCATATCTCTCCATCTGACTGGCTTATGCTGATTTTAGGAACTCTGTCCAACAATTTGAAAAACTGGGCAGCAGCAGTTTTGGCTTTGGCATAATCTGGAGTGAACGAGGAAGCTCTGCCCAGTGCTGTCCCACTGATCACGACTGCTGAAATCACCCTGGGGAAACACATGACCACAGTGTTGATGTTTGGCAATCACATCACAAAGTTGAACATGTCAAAAAGCAAGATTTTTACCAACCTAAAAACAAACATATATTGCAGACCCTCAGCCCTGACCAGGAAGCCTCCGTATCTAAATGAAGCAGCATAAGCCAAAAAGATGACACACTGAGCAAAGCCAAAACAGAGCCCATAGATGTTGGCTTTCTTCTTGGCAGACTTATAAGGCAATTCAAGTTTCTGCTCATACGAATCCACAAATGAGCTCTCTTTGGCCAAACCTGCAATGGTTCTGATGTTGGCAAGAGCCTCACTGGATACCTGTGGGAGAGAAATCACTTAACCGCAAGAAATTCAAAGCTGCCTGTGTACTGGTGTGATATTAAAATGGAAGATGAGCTTACCTGACCTGCTTCTTCCATTGCCTTCTTATCTTCATTTGCAAAACCTGTCAGCATCTTGGCTTGGAATACCCCAGACAGCCCAATGAGCGGCAGGAAGCACAAAATTACCAATGTTAATTTCCAGCTGAAGTAGAAGGCAATGATGAAAGAGACTCCTATGCTGGTCACTGAGTTAACAATCATGCCAATCTGGGATCCCGTTGCCTACAGAAATTATTCAAGCATGTTAAAAAATATTAAAAAACAAGATTTTAATTGTAAAACCAAACTGTGAAAACAATCCTGTAGTTTCCTACTTACCCCCTGAACCATGGATGCATCTGTGGCCAGTCTGGTGGTCAGAGCTCCAGGACTGTTTATAGGGTTATCAAACCAGCCAATCTCTTGTTTCAACATGGCCTGGAAGCCCACTTTTCTCAGGCGGCGCGTCAGAAGCTCTCCAGATTTAGCAAAAGAATATCCCTGTAATATTAAATGTGCACTGTAAAAAAGCCATAAAATACAGTATTGACCCTCTAACCACACATTGATTCTTACCATTACTCTGTACTCAGTTCATTTTAAAATTGATTTATACAGCGCCTAATCAGAACAACAGTCGCCTCAAGGCATTTTATATTGTAAGATAACCCCTAACCCTATTTTATCCAATCTGCTAACCTTCTTCAGAAAAATTATGGCCCTTTTTCCCTTCCCATGGCCCTTTAACATAAACCAGTGACACACTCCGGGGCCTGATCAACCCTGGCAGGGCCTCTTTGGATGACGGTGTCTAGTGATAATGGCCGAAACACCCGATGAATCCAAGGTCCACTACTGACGATGTGTCCCAAATTTTAATATGATAATTTAGATCAGATCTCTAATCCCTAAACCTAACCAAGGAAAAATGGCAGATTATCTTGGGTAAAAGAACGAAAGTTGAGGCACACAAC